AATGATTAAACCAAGTTTCCTTATAAACTGATCGAACAATAATGATTAAAATGTTAAATTTACCACCCTACTGTTGCAGCAACAAATATGAATGCTTTAAATTGATCCCCCCTCTCCAGATTCGTAAATAAGTAACCTGAATAATATATTTTACATGACCTTCCTTTCCTGAATTTGACTGTTATCTAACATCTTAAATCTTGGACTCAAGGGGACTCTGGGCTAAATTAATACTCTGAAACTCAGGTTTAGGTGAGTCCAGATTGATCTTGGGACCAGATCTTGGAGTTCTCGCTACTATAAAGTCAAGTCACTAAAAGTCAGTCCAAGCTCATCTCTAGTGAATTTTAGACCCTATAATCTTTTGCGGGCCACGTTTTTCTACTCGGAAAATTAAAAAATTTTTCCCCGGACAACAACTTCTAGTAAGTTTAGTTAAATATAAAGAAAAAAAAAACCGTTTCATTAACAATATTTTGTTTTTCAGGGAGCCGAGTGAATGAAGAGAGTCCTTTACTGTACAGAAATCCTCCTGGTGATCAATCTCATCTCTCTTGTACTCTAATGTTGTCAATAAATTCAACCATTTATAGTGTCACGCTTTATTCAATTAAAAGATCCTTTATTATGGTACTCCACCTTTAATACCTTTAATATGGTACTAATGTAACACATTACAATTGGAGTTAGAAAAGCACTTTAAGATAGAGTTTGTGGCAACTGATATCAACTGTTTTAGACGCTTTTAATCATCGTAATTTAGTATCTTAATTGATCATTTCTATTTACCTTAGTCGGAAGTATCTTTCGATACATTTAAGCTCGTTACCCAATCAGAACTTCTCTCCTTCTTCTGTTTGTTTTTTTATTAATAAGAACTAAAGTTTCGTTCTTAACCTTGGAAGATGCCAGAAGTGTTTTTCATTTATCGTTATCCGGTGGGCACCTGTGAACTGAAATCACGGGGGTGACATAACCCACACCACACTTACCCGATCATACTGAACTAAACTCAGTGACCCGACAGCCCATAGAGGGCTAAGGCCTACTGTGCCCATCTCAGTTTTCTGGACCTTGGGCTCTGGGGTGCAGGAGCAGATGTTCCGATCAGGTGGTCAGTCGAATGCGGAACCCCCAGTTTAGTTCCCAAGCATGCTTGGTGCTCATTTATCGATCCATTGAAGGGATGAAAGGCTGAGTCAACCTTGCCCGGTCCGAGGATCGAACCCAGGACCTGCGGCACGGGAGCGCAAAGCGCCACCACTCAGCCACCGGGCGTCTTACCCGATCATAGGGTGTGTCATATTCACACGTCACCCGACAGAGGATAACCCTCAGAGAAACACCCATGTCTTGAACGGGTTTTGAACCCACAATCATTGGCTTCGAAGTCAGGCACGCGAGTGGTTAACTCGGCCATCAGGCCGGTTGTGACAAAACTATACTAATACATTACTGAGAAAAGTCATAAAGTCATACGCTTGTCTCTGGTTTTATTTTTTTCTTCAATATATTTTTTATTTTTGCGAGATTTAAATTAAAGGAACAATCATCAAGTTTTCGTCAATTTAAACAAAAAGAAATTTTTAAAAAATTAAACGTTGTTAGATGTAAAGTATTAAATTGTCTTTTCAAAATAACAAAACGGGCAAATTCATTAATCAAAAAGTTTCGAGAAGAAGATGCCGCACGTGTTCTAAAAGATACGAAGCTCTATCTTTCCTAATATCTTGAAGAGAAGCCCTTATTTCCTAATTTCTTTGAGAGATATTGCTCTTTTGAATGATACTCTATCACCAAGTATATTTTTTTTCAAAAAGAAAAAACCTTTTAGATAATGGAAATAAAAAATATTTTTTCTCCAAAATACAAGATGGTAAAAGGATAAGGTAAATGTTCTGTTGTTATCAAACTTTTTATGACAGAGTATCATTCGATAGTGCCTTTTAAAAAGCATCAAGGTAGGTACTTTATTTACTTCACACTAGAACTACACAATGGTCTATTGGAGACGGTCTGGGAAACATCCCTGAGAATGATCCGAGGACTTTGATCCTCTGCAGAGGGGATGGCTCCCCTGCTTTGGTAGTTCAACGACCTGAGAGCGAAGTCGAGTTTACTGGGGTAGAACATTTCAACGAGGACTGATACCGCACACGCTCGGTCCCTACGCAGGCTGATCAAAGTGGTCACCCATCCACTTACTCACCGCAGTCAGTGATGCTTGACTTCGGTGTTCTACTGGGAACCATGTCTTTACGATGAGTCCACTGCGGGACAAAAACTCCAAATAAAGCCTTATAAGGTTTGGAGAGCTCGATAATATATATATGTATATATATAATCAAAAAAAAATAATTAAGAAGAGGGGAATAATAGCACCGAAATAACTTTGATTGCCTGATGAGGTGCAAAAGTCTTTCTAATAGTCGCCATACAAGTCTTCTCTATTTATTCTGACAATCAAATGGGTCTGGTTGTTTTTAGACCTGCCATCCTTAATAGTGATTCATTGGCTTTCGATAGCGTTTCTGGTTTTTTTCCGCTTTTAAATAGGAATTTGAAACCCCTCCCCTCAAGAAAAAAGTTATGAAAAGTAGCGTAAAACAATGAAAATAAAAACAGAAATGGTTATTCAAAAAACACTAGCAATATATACTCGAATATGCTACTTTCAAAGTGTAGAAATCTTTAAAGTGTAGATTATCAAGTTAATCTGCAGGATAAATGGGGTGACCTGTAAAAATGCCGAAAACTGTTTCGCTTCTCGAATTACCAAAGTCATCTGCACAACTACCCACATAATATACACATTTCTGACTAAAAAGTGAAAATAAAATCTTTGCTGAGTGTTTTATTTTACAGCGGAATAAGAGATAAAATATGAATCTACGTTACAGTGGAAAAAAAATCTTTGCTTGAGTAGCAACAATCTTTCGGTAAGCTTAAATTAACGTAATATTATTTATTTATTTTTCGTTTCTTAATAAATCAAATTAATGCAATCAGCACATTAATTAATAGAATTTTTCTATCACCTTATAATACAAATATATTTAAACTTAAAATATTTAAGGAAATTAAGTAATATCATTTATTTATTTTAATTAAATAAACATGAAATTAAGTAAACATGATTCAGAATTTTGATTCTATTTATTCTGACAATTTTGATTGTTTTTAGATCTGCTGCTTTAATAGTGATTCATTAGATTTCGATAGTGTTTCTGATTTTTTTTCCTCCTTTAAATATGAATTTGAGCCCTACTTTTAAAAAAAGCTATGAAAAGTAGCATAAAAGAATAAAAATAAGAACAGAAATGGTTATTCAAAAAAAAAAAAAAAAACTCGCATATATACTTGTATATGTTACCTTCAAAGCGTAGAAATTATCAAGCTAATATGCAAATTAACTAGGGTGAGCTGTAAAAGTGCCAAAAATTGTTTCGCTCCACAAATTACATAAGTTATCTGCAAAACTACCCAAATAATCTTCGCATTTCCTACTTAAAAGTGAAAATGAGATCTTTGCTGAGTGCTTTACTCTACTTTAAACAGTGATCGGAAAAACTACACTTTTTTTGTAGTGAACTACAACTACTTTATTACAATTGTAGTTAACTACAACCACTTTTTTTTAATGTAGCGACTACAAACTACCTTCGAAATGTAGTCTCTACTTCGCTACTTTTCAGAGACAAACTTAACTGGAGAACTTAATTTCCACCAATATTCAAAATGATTTTGAATAAAGAATTGGCTTGGTTAAATATGGGGAGATATGAAGAAGTCTTAATTCATGTTTACATGGACTAGTTTTTTTATTCTAAAGCACTTTTTATGAATTTGTTCCTTTAACTTTCAAATTCTATTCTTTTCTCGGCAGTAATTTAAGAAATGCTGGGAAACTATCAAATATTTGTGATTTAAGCGATCAATACTTTTTATATCTTCCTAGAAATAAAGTATAGCGCGAAAAAAAACTGACTACCTTGAATAACTTTTGATCTAATGATCGGATCTTAACATTCCAGGACTCAATCTTAATGGGTTTAAGGGAATGACCGCAAATGCGTTAACTAATTAATGCAGACGATATTTTAAATTTCGAAATCAGACACAAAACCTACTTCATGGTTCCTGTGAAATCGAATTCTAAAAAAGCCAGATATTTAAAATCTATTTCACAGGTACAGCTCGGCCGATTTTTCCGAGCATCAGACATATTAACGTTCGACCACAGAGTCATTCTCATTGAGTACGTTGACGGGCCCTAGAAGGATTTGCACCAATCAGATTCGAAATTTTTTTTGCGTTCGAGCCTTTTTTTTTTCTTCTTTTTTTTCTAACGTTTAAAATAGTTGTCAGGAATCACTACAAACAACTATTTTTTTTTGTATCGCACTACTCATTTCGCCACTTCTTTAAAAAAAAATGCAGCACTACACTACAAACTACGGAAAAAAGTAGCGACTACAGTAGTTTCACTTTCCGATCACTGACTTTGAAGTGGAATAAGAGATAAGATCTGAATCTACATTAGAAAGTGGAAAAAATTCTTTACTATAACAACAGCAACTTTTCGGTAAGTTAAATAAATTAACGTAATGCTATTTATTTATTTTTCGTTTCCTAACAAATCAAATTAATACAATCAACGCATTAGTTAATCAAGCTCATCCATCACTTTTAAAACTATGCAAACATATTTAAGCTTAAAATACTTAAATAAACTAACTTATATCATTTATTTATTTTTCAATATCTTAAAAATTCAAATAAATAAATATTATCAAACAGTCAACAAATTAGTTAATAGAATGAAATAAACATGATTTGGAAGTTAAACGATACGGCGACAGCTATATGCTCGCATTGCCTATATAAATTGCGGAAAATTCCTGATCCCGCAATTCAAGGGAATAAACTGCAGTTAAGCAAGTTGCATATTAACCGAGCTTCAATACGAAAACGCATAATAATGATAAAAATGCACTGACCTCCTTAATTATATTCCTTCTTTGAATGAATTTACTCCCTCACGGAAAGGAAGATCTTCTAATATCTAAAATAAAATAAAACATCACCCTTTTTATACTATAAAGGATTAGATCAGTGATTAGATATATCTGAGAGTACAAGGTTGTTACAACAGATCACGGTCAAGGTTTTCATCACGTTTGAATTATGCTTTACATAACAATGTTTCAATATGCCTTCCGCATATACAAATAATATGTATACTCTCCTTGATAGAGAGAAATACGCCTTACTTTCAGTTTTTTAAGGACACGGGCCGCATAAGAGGCTTGTTTTGTCTTCTTTCAAATCCATAAACAAAAATCTGATGGGAAATTTTACGTAAAGTGAAACTTGTCTTTTGGTCACCCAAACAAATCGTAATCATTTTCAAAACAGAAATATTTTTTTGCTAGAATGAATATTGCGCTGTAAGACTATACTTACCAAATAGTTTATTTGTTTATCGTTCGATCATTATCTCGCCTTGAAAATAGCGTAAAAAATATTTTTGATATGAAAGGCACATTTTTAAGGAAATCATTTTTTGTAAATATAGGAAGGGAAATTATTAAAAAAAATATATGAACAAATAAAAAAAAACATTTTTTTAAAAATGTCATTATATTTTCGTATAAAAAACAATTTTTGGTGTGATGCATTCTCGTTGCAGAAACTCAAATGAAAATTTGTTCAACATTGTACCATAATATGGGTTTCTTTGAACATAATGCGGGGAAAATCAGTCGCAGCCTCACTTAGGTGTTCAATGAAACATAGTTTCCGTTCAAGTTGAGCCAAATTATTGTGCAAATCTATTCCAACCACAATAAAGTGTTCAATTAAACCGAGTTTCAGTACAATTTGAGACAAAGCTTTGTACAAATCTGTTGCAACCTTAATAAAGTGTTCACTAGTTAGTTAAGCATTATTGGCTTGTGGCTATACCGGGTCTATAACTTGTGTTATAAAGCATACTGCTATGATTAAAATTAAATGGATTTGGAAGAAACAATGTGCCTGACGTAATTGAAAATGTTATTAGGAGGCTTATCCCCAATTAATTAAGTCAATATTGAATTAAAGCTACCAAAATACCGTTGTATCTGGATTTCAAATTTTCCACACTAGGTTAAAATGCTTCATAGTAGTGCAGCTACTTCAATATTACTAGTGTCAACTATTTCTTCATTGAATGCTAACGACTCTTGAAAAAATGACCAGTCTGCTATATGTGTTAGTAATATAGGGGAGTGCAAAATATTGATGATTAAAGGAAAATGCTTACTATGATAAAGGTCATCCCAAACAAAAAATTACGCACTTATTAAACACTTTATTGAGGTTTCAACAGATTTTCAAAATACTTTGGCTCAAGCTGTGGTAGCTCAGGGGATGGAGCGTTTGCCTTATAATCAGGTGAACCGGGTTCGAATCCAAGCGATGGCTGGTGCATACGAATTCCGCACCTGGCTCGCATCGATCACAGGGCTGACGAGAAATATCGTCAGGGGTTGACGGATCATGGGTTAGAGTCCCCTTGCCCTCATGGTAACCGTTTCAGGTTTTCGTGTTTTCCCTCTCCATGTAACGTGCAGGTTAGTTCCCTCAAAAAATCCTCCACAAAAGCAAAACTCATCCCAAAACTTGATTCAGGAGTGTCCTTGTCTTCTGGATTAAGTTCAAAATTACAAGACTACGGAGTTGAACATTAGTAGTCGTAAATACAAAATTGGGTCGGTTGTTCAACGACGGTTACAAAAAAATAAAATAAAATATAGATTTTGGGTGGTCAACGTATATATTGATTCGATGTAAATAAATACAGTACATTCCATCCGATGTTAATAAATACAGTACATTAAATAAATACAGATAATTAATTTCTTTTTAATAACAAAGTAAACAAATTCTAAACTTTGATCTTACACATAGTTTTATCAACAAGTAATTTATATATTTTAACAAAACGAGGCTTTTTTGAGTGTTTAAAGTCTGAGTTCAATTTTGTACCATTAGTCATTTTTAAAAGAGAGAACCTTGACACTATTCTAGATGTAACACAATCAACAAAAAATAGATTTTATTTTTAGGAAAAAAAAAGGAAGTAAAGAAAAAGAAAGTAAATTATAAAAAAAAGACGCAACTGGGTGGAAAAAAAAGTTCTACATATAGTTAGGAACAATGTATGAACTAGATCAACAAAAGTTGCATTTTGAATCTACAAATAGAATGCATTTATTCGATTTATAATTCATTGGATCTAGTCATCTTTTTAATGATCAATTATTTTCTATTTTCTCCAAAGCCCTTATTCTAGGTAAAAAGAAAAACTATTTTTTTTTTCAAATAGCGAAATGTTTGAAATCAGTTGAATAAAAATTTTTAAAACGAACATTAGTCTTGAGTGATGCGTACCAAATTAATAAATAAATTGAAAAATTTTTTTCACTAACAAGAAACTTTTCGTAAAAATAGTTTGAGTCATGATCGCTCAGGGTATAGAACGTTTGCCTTCCAATGAGGTGAACCGGGTTCGAATCCCAACGATGGCAGGTCGAAACGAATTCGGCTCCCGGCTCGCACTTGTACTGACGTAAAATATCCTCAATGGTAGACGGATCATGGGATAGAATCCCCTTACCGTCAGGCTTCCTTTCTCGTAGTTTTCTTTCCATGTAACGTAAATGCGGGTTTGTTCCATCAAAAATTCTCCACGGAAGCAAATTTCATCCAATACTTAATTCAGGAGTTCCCTTGTCTTCTGGATTAGATTCAAACTACAAGGAAGTTACCAGAGTTGTTATAAAATAAAATATATTAAACTTCTATAATTGCTTTAACTGTACCATAATAAATAAGTAAATAAATAATTAAGGTAACAAAAATTATTTACCAAAACTTTCTTCGTAATTGCTGTTTTAGTTTACGCAGTGTTAAACTAATGAAATTGTTGAGTCGAATTTTTTAAACAACTTTTGACAGCGAAAAGCTTTAAAGAAGAAATTATTCAGATTAGGAGTTATTACTTAAGCCTCTTGATTTATATATTTTTAAAATCCTCCCCAAAAAATGAAGACGATATAGAGTAGATTAACTAGGGATGGCACCTAATATTTAAAACACGAATGAACAAATATGTAATCGAATTCTAACGAATCACTTTCGAAGAAGGTGTGGCTGAAAAAAACGAAACCTGTCTGATTGACTTGATATACGATATACGACATGACTTGATATATGATTACAGAAGCACCTCCACTTGTCCTTAAAAAATCAAAATTGATTTCAATTTTTTTTTTTCATTACCTATAATTCAAAAGATTTAGATAGCATGTTTCATAACTTGTGATTCAAAATATTTATGTAGAATTTCTCTTTTTCTTTTCACTCGTGACTCGAAAGATTTAGTTAGCATTTTTAATTTTTTATCACTTGTGATTCAAAAAATTTACATTTTTATTTTTTATCACTTGTAATTCAAGCGATTTAGATAAAATTGTTATGACCTTATCATTGTTATTCTAAAGAATTTGATAGCATTATTATTAGTTGTAATTTAAAAGATTTAGACAACACTTTTTTATTTTTTTATCATTTGTGATTCAAAATATTTAGACAGTATTTTTTTCTCTCGCTTATTTATTAATTTGCTATGCTTAAATATAAATATTCATATAATAAATGAAAAAAAGTATTCATATTTTTTATAAATACAATTATTCATTTCAGTCATAAATATAAATATCCACATCATTATTAAATATAAATATTCGCATAAATATTCAAAAGATTTCGAAAGTTTCTTTATTTTTTCCTCACATAAATATATATTTATTTTTTCCTCTTTGCCACCCTTAATTTGAACAATTTTTGACTGCATTTTTAATTAGATTTCTACTACTATATTTTCAGGTCAGTCCTTACAGAACATCCTGTATTTATGTCAAGAAATATAAATATTCATATCATTCATAAATGTAAATATTCAAATCATTCACAAATATAAATATTCAAGTTATTATTAAATATAAATAATCATGACATTATTTAATATAAAATATTCATAAAAATATTCAAAAGATTTTGACAAAATTTTTATTTTTTCCTCACTTGAATATTAATTTGCGATTGTAAAATATAAATATTCATATCATTCATGAAAATAAATATTCATTTCAGTGAAAAATACAATTATTTATATAATTTCTAAATGTAAATATTCATATCATTATTAAATATAAATATTAACATGAAGATTCAAAAAAGTTAGAAACTTTTTATATATTTTCTTCACATAAATATTAATTTGCGACACTCTATTTATACATTTTTTTCTGTATTTTTGGCAAGGATTCTAAAAATATGTATTCATGTCAGTCATTACAGAACATCTTGTATTTACGTATAGAAATAGAAATATTTATATCATTCATAAATATAAATATTCATATCATTCTTAAAAATAAACATTCATATCATTCATAAATATAAATATTCACATAAATATTCAAAGGATTTAGACAGTATTTTTATTTCTTCTTCCCTTACATATTAATCTGCGACGTTTGAATATAAATATTCGTATCATTCATGAAAATAAATATTCATATTATTTATAAATATACATATTGATATCATTATTAAATATCAATATTGACATGAATATTTAAAAGATTTAGAAAGCATTTTTATTTTTTCTTTACATAAATGTTAATATTACGACTCTTATTATCTGCACTTTTTGAGTTCATTCTTGGCAAAAAAATTTAAAAATATATATTCAGGTCAGTCATTGCGGAACATCTTGTATTTATGTAAAGAAATATAAATATTTATACATTTAAATATACACAGAAATATTTTTAAAAAAACATAATTATGAATTTAAGTATTTAATTTTTAAAAGGTAAATTTGTGCCAATTTGTGATTTTTTTTAAAATAAGGATACAGATATGATAGGTTTTAAAGTTATTTATTACACTTCCACTTTTTTCCCCTTCAAAATTATTAATAACATGAAAAAAAATAACATCTTCATTAGTAATTTAAATATCCTGTTTTTTCTCCCTGTTTTACATTATCACTCTTGTAGCAACTGGAATGTTCCTTTAAAAGACGTCTAATGCATAGCTTTGCAAAGAGAAGTATTTCTGTTTTGTTCGAAATAGTGAAAGGAGCAGAATTTAGAAGAGAAATCGTGGAAGAAATTCCAATTGAAGCTGCATTTGATGGTAACGAATCCCCGGGGCGCACCACTGTCTGTTTTGAGAAAAAAGAGGGCAATCTTCCAAATTACTTCTTCAAGGTCCCAAAGAAGGGGAGGAAAACTCTCAAAATAAATCGACAACATTCGGTCATGAAAAGAAGAGTGGTTGCTGCGTGGGAAGGGACCGAAATGTGGTTTGCAATCCGGGACTTTTATTTCTTTATCGAAACGAGCGCTGATCGGTAAGGTTGCCACCTTCTTCGTTTAAATTTCGCAGAGATTTCGAATTACGATTTAGTATGGTCTTCCACTACCACAAACCCCTAGCCGGCATGTATCAAGACAATTACAGATACGGTACTTCCCTCTACAGCCCCAGTGTGGGGGACGTGGAGCGAAACTACCGAACCACCCTCTCCAGGACCAACTTAAGGTCGGACAGAGGTGATTTGGGAATGTACACTTTCGCAGGTTCGAACCTTCACGGAGGTACGCCTGGTTACGAGAAGTTATCAACACCCGTATATTCTTCATCTGGCGTCAAATCAGGCGGTGGTGGTGCATACAATCACGATTTGTATGCTCCCATCAACACCAGAGATTACGACAAGAGTTACTACGACCACTTGAGAGCACAATCGCCTGAAAGGAGATCCCGACCACCGAAGCCGGATCCTTACTATGACCTCCCCCTCGATGGATCGTATAAGACCATTCCCACCAAGATCTCGATCTCGGACGATCTCGGACCGAGGAAGGTGACGAAGAAGGTGACAACCACCGAGCAATGGGTGCCCCTCACGACCCACTTCTACCACACTCCTAACCACAGCTACTACTACTACTCTTCTCCTTACAGTAGTTACACGTACAGAACACTCGACGACCACGATCTGTACAGCTACGACTATGTCAATGATTTCAAGAGGTACGCCACCACTTCCACCAAGACTACCACTAAAAATATCGACTCTCTAGATCTTAGTGTGTCCGATAAGAGTTACGAATTGTATTCTGAAAAATGGTAAGTTATTTTTACTTTTTTTTTATTCGTGGTGTTCTGTAATTTCCGCCCTTCATACTTTTCATATAGGCTTCTCACGCATTTTTTAAACTCGCCCTATTATATATAATATTTATGTGTATTTTTTACAACTACGAGTTTTGTGTTTCCTTCAAAATATGTTTTTTTTTCATGCTTAAAATAGCAGATTTTCATTCCCAAAAGGAGTGTCACTTCCGTTTCTGAATCTGTCAGGATTGTAAAAAATTGATATCATTCTTCACGATACAGAAACATACTAGTATAGCGATTAGGTATGGCCATTTTTCAACAGAAAAAATTCAACGCATTTCTTCGTCTTCCACCCCTTTGCTGTAAGTTTATATGAACGAAGATCTTCGTTTAAGACACCAGGACCGTTAATATATAGTTTTAGAATTCTTGTGAAAGATAAAGTAAAGAAATATACATGCATTGAGGGTTGCAGATTAATATTTTTGGGCGAGGAAAAAGAAACCTTTATTGAAATATGATGAATCACTATTGTGGAACACGGAATTGAAAGATCTCAAGACCTGTTCGATTGCTGGAGGAAATTGAAATGCGAAGATTATTTGGAGAATTATTTGGAGCAAGCAGACAGTTTTAACGTTTTGCCCCACGCCTTTCACAATTTTCGACACATTTCCATAGTATATTTTTCTGCTACTAATAATTTTCTATTTATCCTTACGTGCAAAATTTTTAAATAAGATTTAATACTCTTTGTAAATAAAGTTGGCGTCTCTAGGTTGCGCGATTTCTCCACTGTCTACACTTTCCCTCTCTCTACCATGATTTCAGGCAATTCTTGCTTCATTCCCAAGGCAATATGTCCCAATGAGAAATTGAATATACTGGTGGGAGGCAAAAAGACGCAGTAATGGAGAAGAGAGGCAGTGAGTCAGTGGGGGAAATCGTGTATCCTTGAGACGTCTACTCTATTCACAAAAAGTGTGAAAATAGAATACTTATTACTGAACATCCTGTCTTTCATTTTTAAGATGAGGGGTGTTCCATAAATGAATTCTAGATCTAGTCTAAAAATGTTTATTTTTGATGAACAATCAATCATGCAAAATGTTTAGTGTTTTTAAACATTAAAAAAGTTACTGCTTTTTTTATTATTATTAAAAATATTTTTACGCTTCTAAGTGGGAGTTATTTCCTTTAAAGTTATTCCCTGTAAATCAATTATGCATTTTGATATAAAGAATATCAAGAGAACACTAAAGTTTGTTAAGATAAAAAAAAAAATTTAAAATTTCCACGTTTTTAATAAGTTTTTATGACAGACAGAAACCCATTTTTTTTTTCAATCGAAAATTAGGCAAATTACGTTTATAAGTCTCCGCATATGATTTTTAATGATAGCTGCAGATTAAAAATTTATGATTATGTCTTTATAAATTTCCAATACTTAATGTTTCACTAGATTTTTTTCCCTAAAAAGATTTCAAATTATTCTTTGACTAGTTGAATACGAGGTAAAAACAATATCGTAAATAATCAATGAATCTGTGTTATTGAATTTTACGCAATTATATACAAAACTAAGAGGCTTATATAAACGTATTTAAAAAAATTAAATAATTACAATTCTTTTTTTCTTTTTTTTTGTTGCTATTGTAATTATTTCTTGTCCTTCTTTATATTGCTTTCAATAAATACATTAAGAACCTTGGTGGCTCAGGGGATAGAGCGCTCGCCCATCAATATACCATATTGATAGGCGATATACCAATCCTTGGCGAACAATGAACACGTATTCTTTGGCCAAGTACCAATCAATATATCAAAAATATTAAGAAAATTTTTAATTAGCTGCTGTGAATGTTCTCAACTTTTGAGAATCACTCTATAAGTACAAATGCATAGTTATTAGCTTATACAGCCCTGAACTTAAAAGCATTAATAAGAAAAAAATAAGAGTTCAATCTTTTTTTTCTCGGGCATTAGTACTGGAGAAACTCTTAAATTGCTAAATTTACCCCCAACAGACATGATGAGACTTTATAAGAAACATCGATGATGTTACACAACAAATCTATCGAATTTGGTTTTTAAAGTTTCCTCTGGATTTCTTAAAATTTATTTCTGAAAAACTTTTATTTTTTAGAATTTTATGTCTCAAACAAGCTTTTAAAAAATAACGTCTAAAACGTAGAGCGGAATTAAAATCTTGCGATACATCCTAAGGAAATATCGACATTTCACAATGCATTGTGATCTTGGCATGTTTTAATTAAGTTTCTTATTTTCACATTGCATTTCTTATTTTCTTATTTTTATAAATCCAATATCAGAATGAAATTAATCAACACATCAAATAATATTGTATTCCATTACAATCATTATCAATAGTACTCGCAATATTATAGTATTTCGTACATTTATTGTAAGACATGGTATTCGCGATATATTGTGAAAATAAATTTTATAATATCGTTACGTGATGATAAAAAAATATTGATATTTCCAGATACATCGACCAGCTATAGTGGAAATATATAGTATTTTTAAAAGAAAAACTTCCATGAAATAATTTCGTAAGATTTTCGGAACAATTTCGCGCTTGAAATTAAGAAATTCAATAAAATTCAAAAAAGCCTCTTAAAAAGGTTTAACTTTTATAAAAGCAACCAGTAACTTTAAAATGCTTATAAAATCTTTGAAGATTAGATTTCACTATGAAATAACTTACTATTCATAATCAAAACTTCCGCTCATGGACATCAGACAAGGCCAGAATGATTATTCCTTCTTTTTTTTCTCTCCCTGTTTATCAACAAACCTAATCAGATTTATGAAAAAGCGATCAAGATTAAAGCTATTCAAATCTCTCAGTTTATATACACGGGGAATTTTATATTTATTTATTTTTTTATCTGATGTGAAAGTTTAGAGTTGGAGCTCAGAATGAAGAGCCGTGAATTTATTTCATAATCACAACGTCTAGCGTTCTAATAAGGGTTCATTAAATTCATAGATATGAATGAAAGGTGCTATAAATTGTATCAGGAATTGTAAATTGCTTAATGCATTGTCTCTGATGAGTCTAGATAGATTGGTGGGGGCATATAATTTCTAATTTTTATGAGGAAACGCTTTGTCGTTTCAGCAAACATTAATAAAATAGAAATTCGCAAGCTGTTCTAGTATGCAAGTTCAACATTAAACTCATCCTTAACTGAGAAGGGAAAAAAAAAACTAAAATTTGTGAAATGAAAAAAGAAATCCAATAATAAATTGTAGCTAGTTTTTGTGGAACAGGCAGATGTAAGACAAAAGTGCACGTCAATTTAATTTGGCTGTGAAAAACGGCATAATCATTTACTGGTATCTCGTTTTGTAATCATGGAAAAACTTATAAAACTTTCAAATCAATGGAAGTAAACATTTTTTGAACAAATTTCAGCAAATAGTTAAAATCAGATCAAAATTTATTAAGGTGTTCTCTTATTTTTGCACACTCCCTTTGATGGCTCTGCTGTATTTCTTTCTAATTCTTATTTTAACTCAGCATCGAAGATAAATTTTGAATCAGGTGAAAGGAAGTTTCGACTTTCTAAAGGACCGTTGTGTTACAAGGAGGGGAAAGCCATGAAACTTTCAACAGTTAGGCCGGAGGCTATAACACTCTAATTTATTATCTATCTAACAGATAGGAATATTTTGTGTCTCAACACTGCATTCGGTGTTGACCGGTATACGAAACTGAGTATCAACTGATTATCCTCTACGTGGAAACTGACTATCACAACTCTTTAACAATATCCTAGCAAACAAATTTTTTGCAGTAATTTTCTACAAAACAGCTTTAGCCACTAAGAGACAACCAAGCCAGTACTAATGGCGGCAACTTATATTAAATTGAAATTAACACTTTCGAACGTAAGTATAAGCGATACATAGACAGAAAATTTATACTTCAAGTTCGAAATTTAATGCACAGATTGTTACATGCAAATCGAGAAAAAAATTAAAATTCTGAAGTGCTATGAAGTGTAAAATTCTAAAGTGATCTTAAACAGAAAACAACATTTAACAGCTTTAAACAGCGTGCTTGTAGCTCTGTCTTTGTAGCAACATAACAAAAAGATACATAGCATCTGAAATTAACACAAGCATGCGCAGTTGCTTCAAATCTTGCGTACGGGAATGTATGGAAGCTAATGTATAAGTGCGAAATCTTCCTATTGTCGGCAATTCTACAATTACAATTTATTGTATAGTTTCGGCTAAGAGAAGAAAATGTTTTCGATAAATTTGTTTGCATGTAGTTGGAAAGTTTGTGAATAGTTCGCGTGTAGTCCATATTTTTATTAAAAAAATAGATTTAACAATTTTACGTTAGATCCCGTAGTACGTTCAGCGTAAATCTGTAGAGAAAAGAGATTGTTTTGTATAAACCGTGCTAAGCAGAACATGGCCGTGCGGAATGCTACGGTGTCTTTTTCATGACCGCATATAATAATATTTTTTTGAAAGAAAATACTGCCTGAAATCAGATGAAATATTTTTGTAACCATTGTTGAACAGATGACCCAATTTTGGGTTTACGGTTACTAATGTTCAACTCGGTAGCTTTGTAATTTTGAACTTGATCCAGAAGACAAAGGAGCTCCCATGGATCAAGTATTGAGCTAAATTTGCCTTCGTGGAGGACTCTTAGGTGGTTGTATCATGCATGATGATTGTCCCTATCTCATATCGATATCATCTTTAACGATAATGCTCACGATAGTATCATATTGGATATTTGACATTGTGGATTATGATCATCAAGCATTTGATATTTATCCCAGGACGTTGTAATCGCGATATATCATGTGAATAAATATTAGACTATCGCCGACTTCAAAAATGCATGTCATAGCCTATTTTTCACTTATTTTCTTAAAAAGATACCAATTTTTTTCATATATTATTTAACCTTCTAGAGCTTAATCTTGATACTTTTTTTCTCACTTTACTTTAAACAACATTTGTATTCATAATTTTGTAAAGAACAGAAAATTAAATGATATCGAGATTTTCATTTAGCACCAATATTTTTTTAAACGCATCTCCGGTAAATAAGGAGAAGCTACCGTGGAGGGTAAGGAGTTCAACCTCTCAATGATAATGACATTAAGAAATAGGAAAATAAAAATAAATTGCAAGAAAAACAGGAACTAACTACAAAAACGGGTTCTAATGCTATTTTTCGAAGGCTCTGTGGTCGTATGAAATGAGGCTTTTTGCAAATAATATGCTATTTTCATAACTGATGTGAGTTTGCAACTGATACTCATGACTTTTAAGTCAACTTTAGCCTATCTTTAGCCAGGGACCCTCTATATTTATTCTGAAAATGGCGCAGAACAATAATATGAAAAAAGCCACTGTTTTAAGAAAATGAAAAGCGTTTGTGGTCTAAGTTTTTAATATTTAGAACCTTTCTTTCTCCAGTGCTGCATTACCTAGGCTCATAAAAAATTTTCAAATTTTTTTAAAATTAAATTTATAAATTATTATGAATCGTGTTTTTTAAATAAACTGTTTAATATTAGCTAGAAACTGATTTGTGATAATTAAACATTTTTAGCAAACATTCTTTTCTTTCTTTCTAGATGTCTCGGTGAATTTCTTCTAGCCCATTCACGAGATCAATAAAGACATATTTTTATTTTAATAACCTTTTCTGCTGGCAAGTTAATAATAGATCATTAATGTTCTAGGGAACAAACACGTTTCGGAACGGGTAACAAACACCTTTCATGGTGACGTTTCAGACGGAGCAATTTTTTTTTTAACCACAGTTAATGTAGCAAACGATTCCATACTAGAAGAAAGTTAATGTGGAATATTACTTTTTCCTCATACTACGTACTCGAACTGTCAATAATTCTGATCCTTCAATAGAAAATAAAAAACAGATTAGTATTTCGAAGTGTATTTTTGTGCTTGAGGATTTAAAATATCATCATTACCTAACGAAAGGAACCATTTTTTTTTACCATTGCAAGATAATTATTTTCAAAATCAGCGGTTGCTACAGCGGTTAAAGTATACTTCGATGGGCCCCTTGGATTATCGCCAAGTTGGTCACCAGGAAGAGCGATGTTGTTTCATTTATGGCAGCCTGGGTAATTTATCTCACATCTCATCATGTTTTGGAAACTTAATTATGATCATCTTTTTACTATCAACGCTAACAAAATAATAAATCGTTTGAGTGTTTTAGAACACTGCCATGATTTTATCGCTAATGATTTCAGATGCTCAATAACAGTACTTCTCTCTTCCGCCAACAACTTCAATACGATTACATTCATAAAAATAAGATAAAGAATAGACATTTCATCATCCCGACACAATAATTATTTCATTCGTTCGTAAACTGTCATATGAATTGATATCTATGAATAGTTGTGAAACGGCAGACACTTTCCCTGTCTAATTTAATACCTCAAAGTGAATAATATCTGAAAAATGAATTGAATTTCCGATGCGATTCTTTCAACTTAAATCAGGATCTATTCTTAACTTGCAGCAGTGTAGAAATAGTTAGAAAAAACATTTAGATTGTTTAGAAAACCTTAACAAGAAAGTGTAACCTATTTTTTTTCATTCCTGACTAATAAAAATGTTATAAATACTTCTTGAACTTGATTTTTAAATAAGTCTTTCTCTATTTAATTCCTGAAAAAAAAAATGAAATAGGAAAAGCAGCAAGCCACTTAAGCAATATGATCTGAAGACATGTTTTTCTATTTTTATGTCCTTTTAATGTTACAATGCACAAGTGGAACTTTTTTGAGTTGCATTTTTTATATGAAGATAAAACAATTAGTTTAGCAACTCCATGCTGTAGGGAAATGGGAGCCAATCCTGATATTATTGTCGTTGTTATCGAAATAAAATACAGGATTGGAGAGTAAATAATTATTTAATGGATATTATAAAATAAAAAAATTTAAGAAGTATACTTTAATCCGGGCATAATTACGCTGTTAAAACTATGTCTAGAAACCATCTAACAACAATTGAAATGCAATGTTTTAATTATGCAATTTTTTTTTAATTTTTCCCAATGCCAAAATAAATAAGGTTGCTACATAAATATGGACCATAATTAAACAAATTCACTACTTCAAGAGAAAAGAAATGCTTTATAATATTTAATTTTTTTTATAAGAACTAATATTTATATAATTGATAAAATTCATACCCTATTTAACTCTTTTATAAGATCTCTTATATTCTCACTTAGAAACATTGAGTAAAATAATAAACAATATACAATGCGCAAAAAAAAATGGACCATCCAAAATTTAAATAATTCGAATTTTAAATATCTGACTCATTTGAAATTCAATTTCTCTGGACCTATTCGACCGTATTTGCATAAATTTTGTATTTTGCCATGTAAAATTATATTCTTCAAAATGATGCAAAAAATTGTATACCATACTATTCAAAATTTTTTCGACCATTATTAAATAAAATAATAAAAAATTATGAAAAATAATAAATGTTTAATAAAGGTTATTTCTTGCAAGGTATCTTTGGACAAACGAATTTTAGAATTACGATCAAAAATTTTTCAATTCTTTTAAATAATTTTCGACATATAGTGAAGTACACAAAAAGTAAAATTAACATTAAGGGGTTGAAACTTTGAACCGCACCCCTGCCCAAACTATTGGGACCATATTTTCCAGGTTGCGGCTACCCCCTATATTTTGATGGTCAAAAATCCGAATCCGTCAAAATAAAAAAAATGTTTTTTCATACGTTTTTGTGTCTGATTTTCTTACTTAAAATATCGTCTGCTCTTATTAATTAGCATATTTGAAGTTACCCCCTCGAGCCATTAAGATTGAGTCCTAGAACGTGAAGATCAGATCATTAGATCTTCAGTTATTCAGGGTGGTT